CAATTAAATTGTCGGCTCTGTCCTCCCCGGTGGTCCCTAAAAGCAAATCATAGTTCGACAATTAAATGGATAGACATATAATATTGGCGTAGATATTATATCCACGAGACAGCATATTAGCATGTATCCTATTTTGTCRATCTAAAAAAACAATGCTTTTATTAGAAGGTATACACCAACGATAGTGAAACATTTACTTGATTTTAAAATATTTCATAGTTATATCATATAGTATTATGTTGTTAAACGTTTATRAAAATATATCTGTTAATCACAATGACGAATGACCACTGCTTCTAAGGATATATGAGTAATATATGTTTTTAATGTTATGATAATGATATTATTATTATTCRAATGACTAAATAAAAAAAATTAAAGAATGGATAGAATGGATTTACGTGTATTTATATTCTTTAATGTTTATATATGTATCCAATAAAACAGTATATTTTATCATTAGGCTAGACACTAAGTATTAGGCTTAGATTTGACAAATTTTTGGGCCAACTCTCTGGGTGGTATACAGTAAGTTCGAAGGGCGTCGGTAATGGATAATTAATATTAATCATGACTCCGTGGTAAGTGATATGAATTGTTATCAGTTATTACCATTTTCCATTTTGATACATAAATTTACATCATGTTTATAAAATATCAGAATAAATGGTTATTCAAAATGTTCTTAATTAAAACCAAATAAACAAATAATTTATTTTAAAGATAATGTTCTGTATGCCATGAATGTGTAAAGTAATACTTTTATATTTTATACACTAAATAGCCTACTCAAATAACTCCAAAAACTACATCAAAAGTTARTTATATTAAAATTAATAAATACGGGAAGTCAGTGACTTGAAGATTTACCTAAAGGTAAACCTAGAGTATACCTAAAGATTATGTTTTGAGTGTACTTATATACAGAANACATGAAAAAAAGGTTTAAAGTCTGGATAATTCATCACAAAAATACATAAATGATACAGAAAATAATTATTGAATATTTGATTGATTTTGTTAGTGTAAACCAGCAAATGTAAATGAATTAGTACTTTAAATTTTAAAGCAATGAATAACTTGTAAAAAAATTAATCTTGATTTTAGTATAAATGGTCAATTTGTAGTTAATGAAGTGAATAATAGTGATGATAATAATAAAATTAAATATTTATATACACATATACAATATATTTGGTGGCCCGCTTGAAGATGATTGCTTACCAAAGTGGCGCGCTAAAAAAAAAGGTTGGGCATACTAATAACTAAACTATAAGAAAAACTCAATATGTTTAAATAGTTGATGTTTATTAACTATTTTTTTTTCAATATATGAACTATTTTATTGGAAAAACGTCGGCTTAAAAGTTAAGTGATATATACTGATGTAATACTGGAWGTATCAACGGTGCCACACGTTTCCACTTTAAACCACTTGATACATTTCCTGAAACTTAACAATCAATTTGATACTTTGTCATTGACTTTTGGCTTAAGTCGTTTAACYTACGTAAACAATCTTTAACACTTCCTAACCAATTATTTAGTTTAGAAAGTAAACCGTATTCAATCAACCATTTAGTTAACGACGTTAACATTAACTGGTAATTTATTTTTCAGAGGAGATATCTACAATCAATAAAACATCATGTCGTTATTTTAAATCTTTGAATACTTTAATAAACGTTAATTTATAATACAAACCTATGAAATGGTTTTAAAAGACTCGATTAAAAAACGAAAGCTAAAACATTCTAGCTAAAAGTTTTAACGAACAAACATAAAATTATATTTAAGCTTTTAAATTAATCAATCATATCAATATAATATAATCAATCATCATAAAAATCGTAAAACTATTTAACTGGTAGATTTAATATAAGTAGCATTCTGAAAATCAACATAGGTAATTTCCATATAATATTACTTTTTGATATTTTGCTTATACCTACATTTGTTTAAAAATCTTATATGATATTCAAATTGTTACATATTATAAACAAAATCATACACTGCAGTTATAAGTGAATTAATATAACATATAACTTATAAGATATAATTTTGGACAGTAAGGGCATTTTTAATCTTAATATTCTACATGCCAATTTATAATTTATAATATGCTAAAAAATTAAAATAT